TACTAAGGAATGGAACAACATTCCTTTTTTTCTTGAGCTTTGAGACTTCAGATATACCTGTTTGTGAACCTAACCTTTAAACACAAAGGAGGCGGGCATATTGGCCTATGCCTGTAGTCTCAGTTACCCTGGAAGGCTGAGGTGGGAGGATTGCTTGAGCCCGGGAGTTTGAGACCCCCTCTCAAAAAATTGAAAAAAAAAAAAAAAAAAAAGACTGATTGCTTTATTTGATTAAACCTCTTGACCTAGATTTTTGTTTATAGTGGATGGGCAGAGGTCTTATTAGAATCATGATACAAACAAATATGACACTTGTTTATGTCTATAAACTTTATTTGAAAAGATGTACAAATACCAATGGGTCCTTAGAACATGTTGGAAAAACTAGGTTATTACTCTATTTTACAGGCCCTCATGTTCAATAAAGGCTAATTGCTAAAATAGGAAAACATTTATCTTGTCCTATAGAGATAGCATTTCTCATTTATGTGTGATTAATGCCTTTTTTCAAGCATTTGGCATCTGTTTCGATCAGTGAAGGATAATCCAACTTAATCAAATCATTGTTCTGTTCCTTTATGTCCAATTCCTATGTGGCCACAGCAGAGTATCTAAAATGTATATCCTTAGAGTGTCTCTGCATAAGAGAAAATGGTGCTCATAGATTCTTTGGAGATGTCTAATTAGAAAAATTCAAACATGAGTATTCTGTAGAAAATTAACTGGAGTGCTTGAGTTGGCAACAGCCTGAATTAACAATATGCCTTGAAGGCAGCTGTGAAGGGGTGGTTGGACTGGCAGGATTTCATCTTAGCCCTACTGCTAGCCAAGCTGTGAGACCAAAACCTCTTGAACCTCACCTCACTTTCCTCATTTGTGAAGTGGGGCAGTTCCAGCTCCTATTTTATACAGTCTTGAGAATTAAGTGAGATAAAACACTTAAAACTTTTAGAACAATGTGCAGTATATAGTAAGCATTAAATAAACATTAGCTATCATAGGAGAGATTTGGACAGCTATTTGATTATAGCCTTTAAAAACTAAATTAACAAATTACTTTTTCAACATCACTTCACAGTTCTACAGAAGTTAGGAACATTTTTTGTAAGAAAATTCCCCAAATTAACACATTTGTAAGTCAGAAAAGACTAAAGGAATTTAGAACATTTACATTGGATCAAATGGAGAAAGTCTTTTATCCTCTTCATACAGAAGATACGCTGTTTGTAATTAATGTGTCTATGGGACACTGGCATTCAACAGCATTGAAAGAATACTTATTTCAAGAGATTTTTGAAAAATACTCATCTCTAGAGTTCAGACTTTTTGGAAAAATTTCTCAACATCAAGACATAGAATCTGAAATTAAGAGGACCTGAGTATCCAGATTTAGGCAAGCACGAACCTTGGACAAGCTATTTAACCTCTCTGTAATACTTTTAAAATAAGAATAATGCCTTCTCCCTCAAAGGATAGAATTAAATGAGCTAATGTGAATCAATATGCCTTCCAAACCAAAAATTCAAACTTCTATACTTTTTTTGTTTGATAAGCATTACCTTGAGGATATAAAATTGTTTAGCTGAATTGGAATATACTTAAATTGAAAATTTAACAAATGCTGTAAAAATCAATCAGTTATAGGCTAACCTGTATTCATTAACATTTGAATGAAAAGTTTCAAAATAAGCATTTTGTGATATTTACAATACTGAAAATGTACACTCTGGTCTCATTAAAAATTTTTTTCTAGATAGCAAATTGATTAACATGCTGCAATATCCCCTTGATTAAGTTTCTTCATATTAAAAATGTTTCTTATAACTCATATTTAAACATTTGACTTTTTTTCAGATAACATTTAAAAGTTACAAATTAGTAATATTGCATGACTAAAGCACTGGATAGCCAGAATAATTACTGGTGTGGAACAGTAGCATATTTTCTGCACACATTTCTTACTAGTATCTGGTCTTTGCCACTCACAGCCATTCTGAGTATAGATATGCCCTTCCTGCTCTTTGAGGGCACTACTTTTGGAAAATTACTTGGCTTTAAATATTGATCCATTTTGCAGTTCTCACAAATAAATTGTATTAAACATTCAGCAAATTTTCTACTTTTATGGTACAATAAACACTAAACATAGCTAAATATACAGGCTTGTATGCAATGTTGCAACTAAATTATGAGCACTACAATACAAACTAATCGTTTAGTTAACAGAAAAGTAATTCAGAGGTACACCTTCAGAATGAAAACAGGTGAAATTCAGTCTTTCAAAAGGCAAAAGTACTAGGTTCAAAGGATTTAATGACTTTATTACCCATAGCAGTAGGTGTTTACTATCTATGTAGAAAAAATCCAGACTTTATTAAAAGGTGATAGCATAACCAAACCTGGCTCTTCAGGTGCTTCTCCTTGTTTTAATGTATTCGTGTTCATGTACTGATGGTCATAAAAATTCTGGCGGGGGTGGGGGAAATTTTTGAAACTCAGATTTCCCTAATGGAAGAGTTACCTTTTATATATCAGTAGTACTTAAAGCAACAGAAGGTGTTTAAAAGTAATATGGCAGACAAAAATTAAATATATTTGAAATAGACTTTTTTCTTACGTCTTTATGTTAGCCTGGAAGTCCCCTCTCCTTTTTTTTTAATTCAGCTGAATTTAAGATTCAGAAAAGTTTTTTAAAAAACCTTTCTTTTAAAAGGAATACTACCACCAACCCCCTTCCCCATCAAAACAGATCAAAACAATGCCCTTTGCTACTGATTATTAGAACACATATCTAGCCTTATAGGGTTACCTCAACAACTCTTTAATTCTGTCAATTTTGGGTAAGACTTTAATATATTTTATGTGTTTCTTCAGTGTCAAACCTTATCAGCACAATCACAGTGGGGATTTAGGTGGCCCAAGGGGTGTAGAGCTGCTGTTTGGGGTAATTTAAAACTTTGACCTAAGGCAACATTTCGAGAGATAGGAACATTTTTTTTTTTACACTGTAGTCCAAAGAAACAACATTCCGCCCATCTACATTCCATTGCAGTTTCAATCAATCAGGATAGTTTCTATTATTTATTCAAAAACGGTTGAAAAAGAATGTAAGATTTGCAGTTCAACAATGGATGGCAGCCATTAACCAGGCATATCACTTGCAACAAAAGCTGTTGAGGATTAAAAAAGAAATAATTACTTTTGTAAAATACACAAATGGCTACAGTTGCATAAAAACACTACCATTCCAGTATTAACAAATTAATATCATAAAAAAGAGGGAAAGTACGATCTTTTCTAACATACTTGATTCTTATAAGTATATCACTTCTAATATTTGTGCGAGCCTATTTTATACCCAGCACAGAACTACACATTAGCAATTTAAAGTAAAAAAAAAAGAAACAGTCCTAGCTTTTTGATTTAGTGGGGAAGACCACGGATAAAATAATAATATATCATAGCTTTGACAGAGGATAGACAGGGAGCGTTGAGGGTGCACTTCTAGTCAATAATCTAAGCAAATGGTGACAATCTTAACTTTTTGAGGAATAGAATGAGGGGAAAAATTCAGAGAAAACTAAAGGTAACGTGTTGAACTGACAACTAGAGGTCTATCAAAACTGTGCAAATGACTTACCGTCATTTTTTGTTTTAACAATCTCCTGAAATAGGATTGTAGATCTGCAAGTCTGCGATTACCCAAATCAGAGGTCTAACCATTAGCATTTAGTTCTCCAACAACCAAAATTAAAAAAAAAAAAAAATTCTCCCTACAGTTTTTCCGGCTTATTTCGTTGTTTTTTAATTCCTAGGTAAGAAATATATTCTTGTTAAAAAAAAAAAAAAGGCTTAGAGCTAGGTTTTGATACGTAATGCCAAGAAAGCAACTTCCAGTAAGTTGCCTCCAAACATACCTAATATTGCTTCTGTTGGTTTACACTCAGGCCCATAAAGTGCAGGTTTTTTTTTAAAAAAAAATTAGTATTTCAGATGGCTCTTTTTCTATTCTAGCCCTAAAAGGCATTCTTCATTTATCATTTCACTTGTGTTGCTATCATGACTAGGCCACCTTGCCTTAAGTCAAATCTTATGGGGGCTACAGCCTGGACAATTAAACGAAAAGGGCACGGCTGCTGGCGAATAAACTGCACCTGTTGAGGTCCGTCGGCTCACTGCGCCAGCCTGCGTCCCTCCAGGAAAGGACGGGCTGCACCCGTCCCCCCTCAGCGAAGAGCCGCTCCGGGAGGAGTTTAGGCAGTTAACTGCAAACAGCTGCAGCATCTGCCCGGCGGCTTCGCCCTGCCCGTCGAAGGGCGAGGAACACATGGCAGCCACAACTGCACTGCACAAAAGGCACCACCTATCGCCGGGAGCCACCCGCCTTCCGCGCCACCCGCAGCCCCCGGCGCTGGGGCATCCCCCGAGGGGGCGCGGGCGGCGCGGGCCGGGGGCGAGCCCAGGTGCGGCAGGGGGAGGAGGGCTCCATCACGCGCCGAGGAAGAAAGCCTGACTCATGTCGTGGCAGCGCCGGGCTCCTGGGAATTGAAACTCGTGATGCTGTTGCTGCGGAGAAAAGCCTCATTACCCATTCCGCAGGCGGGGAACACCACCCGGGGCGCGCACACCCGAGAGCCGGAGCGCCGGCGGCCTCCGCGGGTCCCCACTTGCTGCGCCCCCTCCCCTGCCCGCGTGCACGCGCGCGCCCGCCGCGTGTAAGAGCGGACACGCCTAACCCGCGCACGCGCGAGCGCGGTCCCGGCCCCGCACCCGGCCCCACCCCCACTAGGCAGAGTCACACAGTCCAACCCGGATTCGCTCCTTCGGCCTAAGTTCCCCACCCCCACCACCCCTTGCGTCGGCGCCTCCGCTGGCCTTCGGCAATTTCCGTCAAAAACCCAGCGCTCGGCAAAGCCCGAAGACCCGCCGCCTCCTTCCCCGCCAGACCCGGCTTTATGTCTGCGGCGCCGGGGCGCATGCGCAGACGCCATCTTCCCTCCTTCTCCTCCGCCTGCCCCCTTCCCCCGCCACCGCCGCCGCCTCCTCCTCTCGCCGGCGGTCGCCCCTCCTCCTCCTGCTCCCGGGCGCTGGTCCCTCCTCTCCCGATGCCGCGAGAGACCGGGGGATACGGTGGAGCCGGGGGAACCGGAGAAGAGCACTAGTAACAACCACCACAGCCCCTTCCCCGCCTGACACCCTCCCTCGGCACCCACCCACTCCCCCGCCCCGTTTGCCAACACCGACCAACCCCACCTCTCGTTCCTTTGAACGGCGTCGGCTGCAGTCGCTGCACCAGCCCGTCTGGCCACCAACGCCGCCAAGAAAGGAGCCGCCGCCGCCGCCTGCGGCCCCCTCCCGCCCGGCCGCGGGAGCAGCGGGGTGAGGTCGAGCCGGCTGCGGAGGAAGAGGACGAGAGAGGGTCGCACCCTCTGCTCTAGCTCACGTCCCGCCGCCCTCCGGGGAGGCTCGGGCGCCAGCCCCTTCCTCCCCGAGGACGTGTGCCGAGCCGAGGCGCCTGCCCTGAGGGAGGAAAATGCTCGGGTTCCATGGCTGCCAGTGATGGAGCGGTCCCTGGGCTCCCGCTGCCACCGCCGCCGCCGCGCCCCGGCCGTGCTCCGCGAGGACCCGGCGTCTCTGCGCGCCCGCCCGCGCCTCGTTGCTGGGCTCACCGTACCGGGCGCCCCGCCGCCGCCCCGCTCGCAGCCGCGCCGCTCCGGCCCCAGCCGCGGCCAGCGTTTCCTCACGGAGCAGCCGCCGCGAGCCCAGGGGGTTTGAAAGGGTCTGCGGGGCGTGGGGGGAGGGCCGAGCGGGGCCGGGAGGGGAGGTTTGAGCGACACTGAGCTCGGAGCTCGCTGGCGGCGGTGGCCCCGGGGGTGGCGAAGGGAAGGCGACACTCGCTCCGCACTGCCTTCGTGCAGAGCGACCGGGAGGGCTTTGCAGTGGCTGCCGCCGCCGCGGCGGGAGGAGGGGGCTGAGGTGGCTTCGGAGTTGGCCGGAGAAGGTGGGCATTTCTCGCTTTTCCTCCCCCCTCCCTTCTCCCCCCTCCTGCCCCGCACCCCACGTGAAGCGGAATATAAAGGGGGGTGTGAGACTAGAGGGGAAAGTGAATGGCGAAGGACTGAAGGGGTCCCCCCTTCGGGTTCCCGGCCGCCCTGTTCACCCTCGTTCATCCTCCCTTCCCGAAGCTCGCCCTCGAAGGCAGGAACGGCCGGCGCCTTCGGCTGAGGAGGAGGAGAAGGAGGAATCGCGCCGGGCGGAGCGTCAGGTCCGGCTTTCCTCTCCGGCGTCTCGAATACAAAGATTACGGTGCAGAAGGAAATTGCACTCGCCTCCTCCGCCCCCCGGTACCTAACACAATGCACCAGCCGCCTGAGTCCGCCGCCGCCGCCGCGGCCGCCGCAGACATTAGTGCTAGGAAGATGGCGCACCCGGCAATGCTCCCTCGAAGGGGCAGCGGTAGTGGCAGCGCCTCTGCTCTCAGTGCAGCAGGTACCGGCGTTGGTAGTAATGCCACATCTTCCGAGGATTTTCCGCCTCCGTCGCTGCTCCAGCCACCGCCTCCTGCAGCATCTTCTACGTCGGGACCACAGCCTCCGCCTCCACAAAGCCTGAACCTCCTTTCGCAGGCTCAGCTGCAGGCACAGCCTCTTGCACCAGGCGGAACTCAAATGAAAAAGAAAAGTGGCTTCCAAATAACTAGCGTTACTCCAGCTCAGATCTCCGCCAGTATCAGCTCTAACAACAGTATAGCAGAAGACACGGAGAGTTATGATGATCTGGATGAATCTCATACGGAAGATCTGTCTTCTTCTGAGATCCTTGATGTGTCACTTTCCAGGGCTACTGACTTAGGGGAGCCTGAACGCAGCTCCTCAGAAGAGACTCTGAATAACTTCCAGGAAGCCGAGACACCTGGGGCAGTCTCTCCCAACCAGCCCCATCTTCCTCAGTCTCATTTGCCTCACCTTCCACAACAGAACGTTGTGATCAATGGGAATGCTCATCCACACCACCTCCATCACCATCATCACATTCATCATGGGCACCACCTCCAACATGGGCACCACCATCCATCTCATGCTGCTGTGGCCAGTGCATCCATTCCTGGAGGGCCACCCTCAAGCCCAGTATCCAGAAAACTCTCTACAACTGGAAGCTCTGACAGTGTTTTGCCAGTTGCACCAACTTCTGCTGTATCATCCAGTGGCTCACCTGCATCTGTAATCCGTGCTCCAAGTACTATAGGCGGTATAGGTATAAATTCTGTTACTGGCACTAATACAATGAATAATGTTAACATTACTGCTGTGGGTAGTTTTAATCCTAACGTGACAAGCACTGTACTTGGCAATGCTAATATAAGTACAAGCAATATTCCTAGTGCTGCTAGTGTGAGTGTTGGGCCTGGAGTTACCAGTGGTGGTAATGTGAATATCTTGAGTGGCATGGGCAATGGTACTACTTCCTCCACTGTTGTTAACAGTGTCCCTAATGCAGCTACGGGGATGACTGTGGGATCTGTTTCCAGTCAGCAGCAACAGCCAACAGTTAACACATCAAGGTTCAGAGTTGTGAAGTTAGATTCTAGTTCTGAGCCCTTTAAGAAAGGTAGATGGACTTGCACTGAGTTCTATGAAAAAGAAAATGCTGTACCTGCTACAGAAGGTGTGGTGGTAAATAAAGTGGTAGAGACTGTAAAACAAAACCCGGTAGAAGTGACTTCAGAGAGGGAGAGCACTAGTGGGAGTTCAGTAAGCAGTAGTGTCAGCACACTGAGTCACTACACCGAGAGTGTGGGAAGTGGAGAGATGGGAGCCCCTGCTGTGGTGGTGCAGCAGCAGCAGCAACCAGCTCTTCAAGGTGTGACCCTCCAGCAGATGGATTTCGGTAGCACTGGTCCACAGAGTGTTCCAGCAGTTAGTATACCACAGAGCATTTCTCAGTCACAGATTTCACAAGTACAGTTACAGTCTCAAGAACTGAGCTATCAGCAAAAGCAAGGTCTTCAACCAGTACCTCTGCAAGCCACCATCAGCGCTGCAACTGGTATCCAGCCATCACCTGTAAATGTGGTTGGTGTCACTTCAGCTTTAGGTCAGCAGCCTTCCATCTCCAGTGTGGCTCAACCCCAACTGCCATACTCTCAGACGGCTCCTCCAGTGCAAACTCCCCTTCCCGGGGCACCATCCCAACAGTTACAGTATGGACAGCCACAACCGGTGGTATCTACACAGATGGCCCCAGGCCATGGTAAATCCGTGACTCAAAATCCTACTTCAGAGTATGTACAACAGCAGCCAATTCTTCAAACAGTAATGTCCTCTGGACAGCCCAGTTCTGCAGGAGTGGGAGCAGGAGCAACAGTGATTCCTGTGGCTCAGCCACAGGGTATCCAGCTGCCGGTGCAGCCCATAGCAGTCCCAGCACAACCTGCAGGGGCATCTGGCCAGCCTGTTGGCCAGGCTCAGACAGCAGTGTCTGCTGTACCTACTGGCAGTCAAATTGCAAATATTGGTCAGCAAGCAAACATACTGACTGCAGTGCAGCAGCCCTCTACCCAAGTTCCACCTTCAGTTGTTCAGCAAGGTGCTCCTCCATCTTCACAAGTAGCTCCACCTGCTCAAACTGGGATCATTCATCAGGGAGTTCAAACTAGCGCTTCAAGCCTTCCTCAACAATTGGTTATTGCACCCCAAAGTACCTTGTTAACTGTGCCTCCCCAGCCACAAGGAGTAGAGCCAGTACCTCAAGGAGTTGTTTCACAGCAGTTGCCAGCAGTTAGTCCTTTGCCCTCTGCTAGTAGTATTTCTGTTACAAGTCAGGTTAGTTCAACTGGTCCTTCTGGAATGCCTTCTGCCTCAACAAACTTGGTTCCACCACAGAATATAGCACAGACCACTGCTATCCAAAATGGTAGTTTGGTTCAAAGTATTAGTCAACCTCCCTTGATAGCAAGTAATATAAATTTGCCTTTGGCACAGCAGATACCACTAAGTTCTGCTCAGTTCTCTGCACAATCATTAGCTCAGGCAATTGGAAGCCAAATTGAAGATGCCAGGCGCCCAGTGGAGCCCTCCTTAGTTTGCTTACCTCAGACTATCAGTGGTGACAGTGGGGGAATGTCAGCAGTTTCAGATGGGAGTAGCAGCAGCCTAGCAGCCTCTGCTTCTCTTTTCCCGTTGAAGGTGCTACCGCTGACGACACCCCTGGTGGATGGCGAGGATGAGAGGTAAGATCATGCTATATTTCTGCGGACATTCAACAGATTCGAAGTTAATCTATTCAGCAGCTATATGTATGCACAAAATTAGTCCAAAGTGTTACAGTTCTCATTTTTGTGTGTGAAATGTATTTTCATGTTAAGTTTTCTAGAGCAAAAGTGTTACGGAATGATTTCAGAGTCAGGAGACATAATATGAAAACATTTTCAGAATAGTTAATTGAGCATATGTTCACATTAAAAATAGGTTTGGTGGCACCAAGTGGTTTTATTATCTATAAAATGCTTTATAGAAAGATTAATTATGAAAAGAAGCTTATTTTCCGCTAACTTATAATGGTTAATCTATTCTTAATGGTTAATCCTTATCTCTTGGGAGGTTGTGGTTCCCACGTTTGTTCTCCTTTACTAGACAACCCTTTTTCATTTCTACTGTGTTTGATCTTAGTCTGTGAAAGATATTGTTACCCGCTTTTCCTAGTTTAGACACTGTAGGGAAGATGACCTAATCTGGGTCATATAGGTTGCCCTCTTACTGTAATAGATCAACTTTTGTGTACTTATTTAATGGTCATTTTATCTGAGCAGTAAAGGAATGGGACTCTTAAGTATTTTGTGGGGATGTACAGCATACACTGTCAAAATAAAAACATTTATCTTTGATAGTGGTATGCTGTACATTTTTTCTTTTGCATTGTAGATAAAGGTGGTAGCCATTTTAAAGAGTAAAGAAAGTCTTGGATGGTTGAGTTTATAGACAAGAAAATAAGACCTTATTCTCCTGCTCATCTACTCCACCTGTTCCCTTCTTCCCTTATCAAAAAAAAAATACATAAAGCCTAGAATACATTATTAAACCAGTGTTTTCTCAATTAGATTGGAAATAATGCATTAATCATGCTTATTAAATCAAATTGTGTCTTTGAAGCTGACTGGCTAGAAAAGTTGTGAAATCTTTCATGTTTCTACATTGCTTTGAAACCTACCTAGTTGATGTTTGAAGGAATGCTCTTTTCACAGATTTGCCGGTCTGTGGCTAACCTTGATCAAAATGTTATAAGAGTTATGAAAAGACTATTCATTTTCACCTTGGAATTTTGAGTAAGCATGCAAGATATTTAATTATTTCAGTATTAGTGGGAGATTTTTCCGATTGAACTTTCATCACACCAATTGAAGCATTTATATTCTATATGTATATTTGTGGGTTTTGCTTTGGAAAAATTGAACATATTGCAAAAGAATTTTAGAAAAAGAAAACAAAGGCCAAATGTTTCTGTGAAGTTTTCATGATTTTTTTTAGTTGTTTTAAAGATAGAAGGTAAAGACATTGTTAATTGAAATAAGTTAAAATCTTGTCTTTCAAGACTTTTGTTATTTTTCTAATAGTAATATAATTAAAGTCTTGTTACCTAATCAGATATATTCTGTATCATGTGTACAGAACTGTACTTTAATAGACAGACCTCTAGGAGGTAGTTTCCTTAATTGTCTCATTATTAATATTGTTAAACCTTTAATTTTATCATTATACTAATACCTGCAATTTTAAAGAATTATTTACTGCAAATATAAATGTTTTCTAAATCAAAAGGGTATGATCTGAGTGAAGTCCCTATAAAAATCAATATATTATGTGGATACCAAATTTTGAGAAATAAAAGACAGATGAAATATACAAATATAAACTACACATTTTGAATTCAAACCTGCCAGGATTTTGTTAATTACCATTTGTGGTCTCCTGGCTTGACTTTTTCCTTCTCCTATTGGTAGGGCATGATAGGGCTTTTACAACTTACTGTTCCAGACAATTAAAGTCAGATGATGCTACTTTCAATTAGGTTTTTAACTGTAGGAATAGAGTCCCAGTTTAAGGTATTCATACAAAATTAAGTTTTCCAGATAATATTTGAGATATGGATTAACAAGGGTCAAATTATGTAGAAATGTGTGGAATTCTACAAAGGGACAAGAAGAGATACTAAGAAATATGAAATATTGCTCTAAAGTAACTTGTCTTCAGAGTGTACTTGTTTTGAATTTACTACATATTGAGCCTTTGTTAGTTAACATCAAAGTCACCAAAAGTAGAAAATGTTTGTTTTAGAGGAATCTTTCAAATTATGTGAAATCAAAATGTTTCACCCCTAAAATACCTTGTAAAGTCAGAAAGGATGTATATGTATCTATATAGATTATCATCTTTATTGTGTTTTACTACAGATTATTTCTTTTATCACCATAGTTTGGAAAAAGTTGTTTCATTCAAATTTTCCCTTGGAAGAGAATTTGAGAATAACTAAAAAAAAAAAGTGATAGGATTACAAAAAAAGAAGAACCTTTTTATCTTTCTTCCTATGCTAGCTTTTGTGTCATTGTATCTTCTGGGCTTGGTTACCATTTGTCTCATGGGAGAAGGGGGTACATTATAATTTTAATATTATGACTCAGGAAATACTTGAACAGTATAACTTTTTGGTAGTAGGACAAATCAGAGTGGTTATTTTTTAGTCATCTTTTGAAATAATATTCTAATACTTTAAATTTTAAAATGTTTATATGTGGAAGATGCTTTCAGTTGACCACTAGGAGAGAATATAAAGATTAGAAACATGGATCAAGGCATTAAGATTATGTATCTTGTTATTTAAAAAAAAAATCATTCTTACAAAGAAGATCTTAATATCTTTGTTGTTAACGTGAACTTACCTTTACAAGAATGGAAAGATACACATATTTCAGACAGAAATATAGTGAAAAATTATGTTTTGTAGTTGTTAGTACAGCCTCTTGTGTGAAATGGGTCAAACTTCTATTCATCCTTCAAAAACTCAGCTCAGGTATTCTCTGAAGAATTCTCATTGCCTAGGGAATATTGTTTCCTTACCACTTTTTAATGCCCCCCTATTTAAGCACTGTACACATTTAATTATAATTATGTTTACCAATCTTTCCCACAAGACTAGGAGTTCAAGGGCAGGGACTAAATATTTTTCTAATTAATGAGCAGACCTTTCTCTGCTTTTTCTATCATGATTTAAAGTTTATATTGTCTCTCATTTTAAGCACAATTGTGAGAGAGACAGGATCATGGAATTTAACAAATTGAAAATAAATTAATAAAAAGACTTTTATACCTCTCTTCACTTGAGATGAGTTGATGTCTATCTTCTAAATACGGTGTCTATTTTATAGTAGGTCTTCGAATATTTAAGAGGAATGAGTGTTTTCTTATCTATAAAATAGGAGTAATAAATACTCAGTTTGCTTACTTCTGAGGATGGTAGCATGAGTTAAAATACTTTGTTAACTGTAAAAATACCAAATTATAACTTTTTAAGTTTTTATTTTTTACTTAAGATGTACATGCACTGTTTAAAGAGTCTAATAGTTTACATGGTTATCCAAAAACTAAAAGCTGCTTGCTGCCTTTTCCAGTTTTCTTTCCTAGTAAGAATCACTTTTATCTCTTTTAGATAATTACTGAGATATTTACCTCCTGGTCTCTAACATACTTTTATTGCTACTAGATTTGCAGCATAGCTTGATGGTTAGGAACATGGACTCTGGAATTAGATTGGGTGGGTTTGATTTTTCCTTGTCATTTATTAGTTTTATGTAACTTTGGGCTACTACTTAACCTCTCTATGCCTCAATTTTCTCATTTAAAAAATGGTGATGGTAGTATGTACCTCATAAGGTTTTTACAAGAACTAAATGAATTTGGAAGGCCTTTAGAGCTTGTCTAACTCACATGCCCTATATTAAATGTTTGTTAAATACTCCTTGCATTTATTTTGTCTTTATCAGCTTTCTGGATAAAATATGAAGACTTTGTTGTCACCACTTACCCAACTGATCCTCCTCCTTCCCAATACCCTTTCCTCCCAGTAGTTATGATTATATCACTTTATTATTTAGTATTCTTATAAAATGTGATTACTTTTCCTGTCCTGTCCCACCTCATCCCCAGCTGTCTAGCATTACAGAAATGTTAGTGGGTTCTCCTCCCCTCCCAAGTTTTCATCTGTCAGCATAGTCTGTTTTCTCCAAGTTACCTCCCCTCACCCCCAATTTTTGTTTTACTTTGGGCTCTACTTTTCTTGATAGAACCTTTTCTTAGATGTCTGGTAATTCTTGGTTGTCTGCTTGCATGTAAGCGTACAGGGACTAAAGAGCTGATTACAAATTTTCAGTGTGGCTTGTTGATTATTAGCTTTACCATAGGGTGTGCTGGTTAGAGTTCATTTTCTTTTTTCTAGTTTTCTCTATATTTATTACTAATTCTGCTTTATATCAAATGTCTCTCAAGATGTTCTGATATCAGATATTGTTATCAATTTTATCTTAGGAAGTCTCATATCCCTCTGACCAGCATTCTGGACTGATTGCCTTCTAGGCTTGGTATACAACTATTACCCCGTGATTTCAGGATAGTTCACTTTCGCCTGTGTTGGATCTCCAGTTTTTAGAGATCAGTTGTTGTCTTCATTTGTGGTTTACTTGATGTTTTACAATGGCTATAGATTACCCTGACACTTGTTTGATTCTTTAGTTAGGTAAAGAATACCAGGTGTGGAAATTATATTATTTTGTACCATTGTTTTCTAGCATCCATATTGCTTTTGAGAAATCTGAAGCCATTCTGATCTCTCCATATATTGTATGTGACCTGTATGTATTTTGTTTTTCCTTCCCTTCCCTTTTCCTCTCCTTCCTTTCTTTCCCCTCATTTAAAGAATCTCCGAAAAGTTTGAGGTTTTTTATCTGTTTGCAGTGTTCCGAAACTTTACCAAGGTGTCTTTGTATGATCTGTTTATATTTGCGGTGCTGAGTACTTGGTGTACCCTTTCAATCTGGAAACTTCTTTTATTTCTGGGACTTTTTCTAGAATGAGGTCGTTAATTATTTCCTTTTTCTATTTTTCAAATTCCTCTTACTTGGATAATGGACCTTCTTGATTACTCATAATTTTCTCATATTTTCTTAACTATTTCTATCTCGTT